TGTTGTTACTTGAATTGCATTATGTCTTGTAAGAAGAAAGTAAGAGCCTCCTTCTTCCACAGCTTTGTGAACTAATTCTTCAAGCTCTTTGACTCTTTCTCTTCTCTCTTTAGCATCATCACTCTCACCCATCAATTCTTCCACTCCCTTCTTCACTTCTTCTTTATCTATCAATACTCCTATTTGCTCCTCTTCTCCCCATCTCGTTGGCTCCTTAACCCCGACTCTCACACTGACTTTCAGTACCTGCACGACCAATTTCTCGTTCCCAAACTGGTCCGCAAATAGCGGCCATGTCAGTAGCGGTACACGAGTTCCATCCGCAATGTGTTAAGAACCCTCCAATAGAAAGATGTGAAAGGATAAGCATTTGTGGGGACCACCCATTGATGAGAAGCCCTCTCTCATTGATCTGTTCTTCGAAACCACTTTGTGAAATCCACTCAGCTAGCTCATTATACTTCTCCCAACTTCTTATGACCCAAATGAAAGGTATTTGAGATTCCTCAAGGCCTAGACCGAGCTCCTTGAGCTGAGAGAGAGTAAGATTGCATATACTTCCAAGGCAAACATAAAGCACCGAACCTTCTTTAGAATCAAGCCATCTAAAGCATTCTTCTTGATCAATGGCTGCCTTATTTCCCCTCTCAGCTTTATCTGCTCCTACCTTGTTGCACAAGGAAACAGGTTCAATTGACCATACTTTACCAGCCCTAGCCTCCTTGTAGTCTTTGACATAAGCATGCTCAAGCTCTTGAAATGTGTTGACAATCACACCATATGATGTGTTATCAGCCTCTACCAAATCGTCCAACACATCTTCCAAATCTCCATCAGCATAAATTTGGACAGGAAATTGAGGTTTCGTAATTTCCACTGTGTCAGGAAAATAAGGGATGAGGAAATACTCTTTGTCCGACTTTACAGCCTCGAGGATCTCAGGGTTTTTGCGTAGAATATGCGTACATAGTAGACAGAAGCTTGACATGCCATGGAAAATGATATTTGGGACATTCAACTTCTTAGCAATTTTGCTTGGATAAGACAAACACATATCAGAAATGAAACAACTTGGTTGAGGTCTCATCTCTTCCATTAGCTTCTGGACAGGTTCTTCAAGCTTGTTAAGTACTTGAAGGAAATGTAACATTGACCTCAACGATTCAAGCAAATCTAGATTCTCTTGTCCTTCTGGCAAACCAGCTTCTTGATGTGGAAACTTGACATGCACTAGGTTGATGGGCAAGCCAGACTCGATGACACGGCTTAGGACATTCTTGAACCTCGCTACGTTATTGTCACACCGTGCTGAGCCAAAAGCCTTGCAATATCAACCATAGGGATCATGTGGCCTTGTGCCATGAAAGGGAAGAGAACAAAGTGAAGAGGAGGATGTGACTGGTGGGTAACTTTAGAAGCCATAGCCGCTCAATTTTTTTTTTCTTTCTTTTAAAAGTTTATTAACTTGGACTATGAGTTTCTGTGTGTTTCTGAGGCATGAAGAGATAGAAAACTAAAAAGCTTGGCCAAGGCA